AGATGATCCCTTCAGGACCAGTGGTGAGAGTGGCAGTACCAGGAGGGTGGAGGGAAGGTGGGGTAGAAAGGGGGAACTGATTATAAGTATCTACATATAACCTCCTCCCTGGGGGATGGACAACAGAAAAGTGGAGGGAGATGTCGGACAGTGTAAGACATGACAAAATAATAATAATTTATAAATTATCAAAGGTTCATGAGGGAAAAAATGAGCTGGTAACAAGGGCTCAAGTAGAAAGCAAATGTTTTGAGAATGATGAGGGCAACAAATGTACAAATGTGCATGTGCTTGACACAATGGATGGATGTATGGATTGTGATAAGAGTTGTATGAGCCCCCAATAAAATGATTTTTTTAAATGGGGTCATCATGAGTCAGAATCAACTCAATGGCAAGTGGTTTGCTTCTTCATTTTGTTAATTGGTTGGTTGGTTTGGTTAGATCTCTCTATGGACATCATTATGAACTGTCTGGACAACTTGGTGTTGTTGACAATTCACCAGAAAGGCGGTAAATATTTTTCTTGACTCATTTGTCTCAGTCTGCAGCTTAACTGGAGGTAGGACCAGATCCGAGGTCTCAGACGTCAGTCCCTTGAGAATTCCCAGGAGAAATACATTACCTCAGGCACTTCTTCCCTCTGTGCAAGAGGAAAGGTCCCAAGTGTGGTTGAGAAGATGGGTAGAGATGAGTGAGTTAGATTGCACAGGGCCATTTCAAGTGAAGCTGGATGTACAGAGACACCTCGCTGTAACCACCAAGCTTCCAAGAAGCCATTCCATTGTTTGTGAGTATCTGTGCTTTGGCATACACTATTTGGACTGCCCTTGGCTCTGATGGCCTAGGGGGTTACACATAGGGCTGCTAACTTTAAAGGCTCACTAGCCACACCATGCGAGAAAAATGATGCTTTCTACTCCCATAAAGATTCCCAGCCTCAAAAAAACCACAGGGGGAGTTCTACTTTGTCCTATAGGATCACGAAGAGTCAGAATTGACTCAGTGAGTTTGATTGTGATCCCACTGATTCCTTCTGAGGATCTGTATTTCTCTGCTGGCCTCAATACCTAAAAGACTCCTCTAATGTTCCTTGAGCCGTAAGCCTTGTGTTAGGAAGCACAAACCTGCTCTAGCAGGTTGATCTCAGCTTTCAGTAACTAAACTGAACTGCTAATTAAAAGGGTTGATAAAACTTGAATTTGTCACCCATCCCTGGGAAAACCTAGGGTCGGGAAGGGATCTGGGAAAGGGGCCAGGTCAATTTACCCTCTAGTACAATAAGGAAGTACGACTCATTGGTGCTGAAGTTACCCTTGTCTTCACAGTGCTTAGAAACTGGACATAACCTCAATATTTGATCTCCAAATTCTATGGGGCCCAAAACCTTCAAGAATACACTAAAACTTAAAAGATATCTAGTTTCACCTCTCAAAGTCTGAAATTTTCTGAATCTCTGCCAAGCAGTTGTATGGTCTCTGATTAAACATTTTAGTGACAGGGGATTATTTACACCCATGATGGCAAGAAATACTACATTAGGTTGAATTTTTGTTGCTCCCATTTCATTCAAACCATTTCCCTATAGTGTCACGGTGAGTCAGAATCAACTCTACAGCAGTGACAGTCAGTTTATACCACTTGGCAGGTAGCCATAGTATGTGAGAGGTGAAATAAGATCATCTTTAAGATTTGGTATACCCCTGGAGTTCTTTGACTGTGAAAACATTGCTGGAGACTGAACAGTGACATTATATCCAGTTTCTTCGAACCATTGCCAGTGAATTTTACTTCCCCATTATACATACACCCAGACACTTCCTTTGACAAGGTTGTCCTAGGGAACGGTGACAAATGCAAGTTTCCCCCTTTATCCAGCAGGTTCACGGGAGTTACTGAATGATCTCAGGTAGCAAGAGGCTGAGGCAAGGAGGTGACAGCATGTGAGGCAGAGACAGAACAGCAGGGGCCCTTTCAGAAGCCATTTACCAGGCCTTTTCCAAAGCGTCTTGGGGTGGGTTTGAATTGTGTGCCCTTGGTACTTGCCTTTAGTTCTAGAGTACTTAATTATTTGCATCACCCAGGGACACTTTTCTCCTGCTACCAGGAGAAAGTTATTCTGTCTTTTCAAAAGACGTTCTTTCAAAAAGTTGAGCAGATACAAACACCCCATGAAGGACACAGCTTCTATTGTTTGAAAATTTTAAGACACCGCATCATAGATGTTCTTTTAGCTAACAGGTTAATCCTCGATAGGGAAAATGTCCCATTTCTTGATTTTAAAAGGAAATATTAGGGAGTTATCTTAAAGAACAAGTATATATTGTTACACACATACACCCTATTTGGTAAATATCACCTCCATTTCTTAGCAGCAAGAGCACTGGTGGCTTATTTGGTTACATCTTGGGCTGTTCACCACAAGGTCAATAGTTCAAAACCACCACTGCTCCTCCAGAGAAAGATGAACTCTCTTAAAGGTTAACACTCTTGGGAACCCACAGAGGGAGTACTACTCTTTCTGCTGGTGCTGCTATGAATCAGAACCCACTTGATGGCACTGAGTTTGGGTTTGGGTTGGCTTTTCTTTGCCACGCCAACTTATGACACCAACCAATCAATATTTCAGGTAATGGTGACCGACACCAGACTCCCTGGCTTATGTTAAAAAGTCAAGGAATAGCTCCAGATGTTTCATGTTCATGAGGCCGGTTCAGCAAAAGACTGGACAACAATGTATGAGAGGGAATATTGGGCAAACTCTAAGGGTTAAAGGAATGAGTGAAATAACTGCACATGAAAATCGGAAATTGTCAGCACCCACTTGAATAATAAATGGATTTTATCAATTTGTTATCATGCAGTTAAAAGTGGTAAAGTATTTTAAGTTTTTATTTATATTAGGAGGGGAAGTTGAAGGTGGGGGGAAATGGAGGGACGGATCACAATGATCTATCTATAACCCCCTCCCAGGGGAATGGACAACAGAAAAGTGGGTGAAGGGAGACATCAGTCAGTGTAAGACATGAAAAATTAATAATCATTTATAAATTATCAAGGGTTCATGAGGGAGAGAGGGTGGGGGAGGGAGGTGAAAATGAGGAACTGATATCAAGGACTCAAGTAGAAAGCAAATGTTTTGAGAATGATGATGGCAACAAATGTATAAATGTGCTTGACACAATGTATGGATGTATGGATTGTGATACGAGATGTACAAGCCCCCAATAAAATGATTTTTAAAATAAAACTTAAAACTATTATATAAGACAAATATATAATAAAATTACTACCATTGGTTCACTATCAGCTATAGCAATAGTTCATTGTTCCTTGTTTCATCTACCAGCTATGCTATCTCTGCAAATATATGTATATACACCATTTTCATTGATACTCTGCAGACTTTTGGTAACTTTCTCAATTTCTTTTTTTAGCAATATATGAGAAACATGATATGCTGATAATTACTGACACAAAATAACAAATTTCCCTTTTCTAATTATAACATAAGCTTTGTTTTTAATAAAGAGTATTCATTCATCTTTAGGTTATGTAAAATGCAATCCAATTTGGCATTTGTATTTGCTCTTCTTTAAAGAGCAATGTATATATAGTCACATTATGTGTTCCATTTTCCTTTCTTTTTATGTTCCATTTTCAGTGGTAAAATCTATTCAGCATGTGGTGGATGTTCTAAAAATTTCCAGGAGAGGATTTTGAGAAAATTCAACTGCATTGTATTTCCAAAAGACAGAGTTTTCTTGATTGCTAATTTCAATCAAAATCAGACATGATGCTAAAATCAGTCTTGAGTTAAAAGCCACAGAAACAGAAAATAAATGACTAAATTGACTTTATGTAAAAAGACTTTTGAAAAGAAATAGGTAGTAACAATATTCAACTGCATTTATTGACTTAGGCACTTAAACCTTGCTCAAATTACATGGATATGAGAATATACCTTTTAGCAAATAAAATTTAGATAATTAGTTAATAAATTAAAATCAATAATAGTAATATAACATGTTTTAACTACTCTGGGTAAAATGCAGTACAGAGTTTCAACTGAATTTTGTGAAAACTGCTCCTCTTATGCTCGTTCTTAATTTAAGGTCAGCCGTTGACTCAGTGGTTAAGCACTTGGTTGCTAACCAGAGGCCTGTGTAATCGTAAAGATTACTGCCAAGAAATTGTGTGATGTGTGGATTAAATTTCAAAAAAACTGTTTAAAAAAAGATTACAGCCCAAAAAAATCCCATAGGGAAGTTCTACTTTGTCATGTGAGGTCACTCTGACTCAGTTATTAATAATTATAAACTGAGTCAATAAACTGACTCAGTTATTAATAATTTAGTAAAATAGTTTATTATTGAAACTTCGAAAGTGAAGTTATCTATAACTGGTGACTGAGAGTTTATTTAATAGATAAACAAAGACACCTATGTCAATCCTGTACACATAGATTATAATCTTATAGGCAGAATATTTATTGTATGGCCTTCTGTAATCCTTTTTCCCTTTCATGCCAATGTAGATCTTTCTAAACACATCGTGGGTGATCAATACATGCTTGTTGATAATATAAAAGTGTATGCTACATGATAAATTGTTAACTAGTATAATAAGAAATTAATTTGTTTCTATTATTTTAATATAATTGACAAATATTCATAATGTTCTTTATTGTTTTAAAATATTGGCCAGGTAATACAATCATTTATTACATGTTCTACTACTTATGTATGGTAACACTTTAAGCTGAAATCATAGACGAGATTCAAGATTTTCCTTGAAGCATATTTCAAAATTCTTTGAATTCTCTTTAAATTTGGGATCCTTCCCTTCCAGGTGGCATTCTGACTGTCTTTAAGTCCATAGCTAAAACACCGAGTAGGTGAAAAGTCATTAAATGAGAATTTACCCTGCAGATGCCTGAGCCCACTGAGACAAGTATATCCTGCCTGCTTGTGATGAAAGTGTCAGACCACAATGCTGCCATGTCTGCTTTCAACTACTCTGTCAATTACGATATGTTTGTCCTGATCGGCATCCCTGGCCTAAAGGAGCTGCACCTTTGGATCTCCGTCCCATTCTGCCTGATGTACCTGGTGGCCATGGCCGGCAATGGCATGCTGATCTGTGTGATAGCACTGGAGCGCAGTCTGCATGAACCCATGTACCTCTTCCTCTGCATGCTGGCATTTTGGGATCTGATTCTATCCACATCCACAGTGCCCAAAGCCCTGAGCATCTTCTGGTTTGATGACGTAAACATCTCCTTTGGTGGCTGTGTCACACAACTCTTCTTTATGCATTTTGCCTTTGTGGTAGAGTCCGGCATTCTCTTGGCCATGGCCTTTGACCGCTTTGTAGCCATCTGCTACCCACTGAGGTATTCCACCATTCTTAGCCACAGCGTGATTGGCAAAATAGGGGGTGTGGTCGTGTTCAGGAGTTTTGCAACTGTCTTCCCCATTGTCTTCCTTGTGAAACGTCTGCCCTTCTGCCGGACTAACATCATCACCCATACTTTCTGCGAACATATGGGGCTGGCAAAGCTGGCTTGTGCTGACATCACCATCAATATTTGGTATGGAATCTCTGTGCCATTACTCAGTGTGATGCTAGATATGGTGACCATAGTCATCTCCTACGGGCTCATCCTCCGGGCAGTTTTTCGGCTGCCGTCTCACGAGGCTCGAGTGAAAGCACTCAGCACCTGCGGCTCTCATGTCTGTGTCATCCTCATGTTCTACCTTCCAGGCATTTTCACTGTCATTGCTCAGCGCTTTGGGCGAAAAATCCCCAAGCACGTCCACATTCTGCTGGCCAATCTCTATGTTCTTGTTCCCCCCATGATGAACCCAATTATCTATGGAGTAAAGACAAAACAGATTCGTGAACGAGTGACCCTGGTGTTTTCTCTAAAAGAGAAGTGTTGCAAAGGATGATTGGATGTTAGTACAATTTATTGTAGGAAAGTGTGATGGGTCTTATTAGAAAGCAAGACCAATAATATTTTTTTAAGAAGACAGAGAGACCCTAATGACACGGAGTCTTTTTTAATGGAATAGCAATGCCCCAAGCTGTAAAACTAAATGAATCCATTATTCTAAATGTAAATAAGTTCAAGTTCATGAAAATCTATATACTCAAATATAAAAGCTATTGTTTTAAAATACAGGGATTGTCAGTGTTTATTGAAAAAGTGAGGTCATTCTTTCACCAAACTAAAATGTAATCAATATAGAAAACATTTCTTCTTCCTCTAACATTGAAATTTCATACATTTCATTGTCCTTCTCAACAGCTATGAAGATCAAAGTTAGAAGGACTGAACATCAGGATTGTGTGACTTCTAGGGAAATATGGAAGTTACCATTCTTCCCAACTTTATTCTGTTCACAAAAGAGTACATTTGCAACCTTGTGATAAATATGGGAATACCTGATGATACTACCTAGTGTCATTCATACATATAAAATGATATCATAGATTTGTCAGTGTGTCATTTGAGTAAAACAAGGACATCACAATCAAGTCAAGTGGTCTGGAGATAGAAGCTGTCCTGGATGTCGCGAGTCTTTTATAACCCTCACAAGTTTCCACTGAACACTCCCCCGCACACACCACACACACACACACACACACACACACACACCTTTAAAACTCATTAACATCTATTTCACAGAGCAGTATACAGAGCCAATGGGAAAACACTTTGAGAAAAAAATCCTATATACATGGGTGTGTCACTGTCACTAATTTCTTTATTTCACTTTATGGTCAAGAGTTCAAAATAAAACACAACAAAAACTTTGTTCTTTGTCTTGTAACAAATTCTTCCTAACCCCTTATCCTTTCCATGCTCATCAGGGATCACTAACTACTGTAGAGGGACTTTCCAGGACTCTCTATTGGATGAGCGCTTCCCACTGTGGCGGCAGATATGACAGGGGACCTTGGGGCATGCAGTCTGCACTGAGCGTTGATGCCAGGGACAGCCAGAATAGCCATGTGAGTGGCTACATAAAGTTTCTCTCCTGGTCCATTTTTCAGATTTCCCATGGGGATTTTCAAGTTAAATATACTTTGCTCTATGATTACGGGCCCTCCTTTTCAGCTCTGTGGTCAGGTTTCTGGTGCATTGCGGAATAACAAGAACTATTTTTGTTTCTCTGAGTTGGGGGTGTCTGGATAAATGTTTCTAAAAACCTGGGACCTTGGGTTAAGAGCAAGCCTTAGTAAATGAATGTACAATTATAGAGATAGTGGGAGAATTCCAGAGTGATTTACCCAACTCAGAAGTATGGAGACATGTCTGAGTTGTGAAACTGGCGACATTGTACTTATTTTTCCCCTGGAGAGATTTATTTCTTATTAGTCTCTAAGGAATAGTTTTCAGAAGTGGAGAGCATAAGGAAATGTTTATTTGACTTTTATAAGTGGATAAAATATCTTTTTCTCTATTCTTTGCCTACAATATAGATTCTGTAAGCATAGAATACTGACTTTTATTACGTTGTCCCAAAGGTAAGAATTTGGCATGAGGAACTATTATTTCCCTTTTTAAGTGAACAATAGTCTATATTTGAGCAGGAATGTTTTGTATGTTCGTTAAGAATAAAATTCATAAAGATAATTATGTAAAGCCCAGCATATGCTGAATGAAACAAGGCAGCCACAAAAATAACAAATATTGTCTGAGACTATTACTGTTGGCAGGCGCCATTGAGTCAGTTCTGACTTAGCGCAGCTCTGTGTGCAATAGAAGAGAACACTGCCTGGTCGTATCTTCACAATTGTCCGGATGCCTCAGCCCTTGTGGCAACCAGTGTCAATCCGTCTCGTGCAGGGATTTCCTCTCTTTCACTGCCCTCTACTGGACCAAGCTGGGTGTTCTTCTCCAGGGACTGATCTCTCCTGACAACGCGCCCAAAGTTTTTAAGATTAAAAGTATGTATACAATAGTATACATTATATATATATATATATACACACACACACACACACACAGACATTATATCACACACATATATATATATATATATATATATATACACACACACACACACACAACACTCAAACATTACCCTAATGAAGGCCATGTCCAGTACAACACAAAACCAATTCACTACACTAAGTGAAGATACAGGAAAAAGTTTAAAAATGAACCTGTTCTTATAAAAAGTTAAAAAAAATTCCTTGATGCTTGCCAGCTGTGGTAGTAAGAGAAGGAGAAAGAAAATTGCTAAATGGAAAGTAGACGCAGATGAAATAGGGTGAAGGGGAAGGCAAAGCCTTGAGTGAAGGCAAGTACCAAGGAAGGGGGGAGGCAAGGGAAGTCACCGGGAAGAGCTTACGAGTTAAAAGACAAGAGATATAAAAACTTCTGAACACATGATCCTGCAATGATGGTGGATGCAGGAAAGACATGCAGTGACCAGATTTGGGAGGCCATTCGGACTAGACCCATGAATGCATGTACAGATTTGACAAAGGATCTGACCATACGTGTATTTTGCTATACTGCCCATATATCCATGAATCTAGTAGAGCATACAGAGAATAAAGTTATAAAACCTGTTTCTGTATCACTGAGTGCCTTAAAAAATGAGTCACTTGGTGTAGAGGCTCAGGACCATGGTCTCAGGAGACACCAAGGTCAGGTGGTACAGCACAGTCTACGATGACCATGTTCTGTATCTTTCTTTGGAAAATAACAACTGGGCTCTTAAAGCTTGTGAATGGCCGTCGAAGGGGCCACTAGTCATCTCCCCCATCCTGAGCAAAGAATAAAGAAATAAATAGAAGACATGTGAAAACAATTGGTCTAATGCACTCATTAACCCCATGAACTGTCTCCTCAATCTGCAACCAGAACGAGATGATGCACAGCTACCGCTGCCAACCGCTCTAGAAGGGAGCATGCGAGAATAGCTTGCATAATGAAGGAGGGAACTTGCAACAAAACTCCAGATCATAAAATAGATCAGGTTCCCTGGCCAGATAGAGATTGGTACAGTCCCCAAGACTACGGGCCTAGTTCAGGTCTAGATCTGAACTCACCCTGTTACCCTAAGTGGGGCTATGCCCAGTGCAATTCAGCCACACCATGTGAAGATACAGAAAAGAGTTTAATCACTTGTGCACAAGTAGGAAATGGACAGTGATTTAGCACTTTCTAAAGGTCCACCTTAAAAATGTCTGTATCAATATAGGGCCTATATATATTCTGTAAACGCTAGCAGTCATGACTACACATTCCATTTTCAAGTATTTTTATCTTATGAAAGATAATTTGTCCCTAGTTATAAATTTTACCTCTCATAGGTGTCTTCAATAGCTGAAAATGTTACCTTGAGAGAAAGGAAGGGGTGCAGTAAAGGCAATTCCTATTTTTAACCCAACATTGACTTCTTCAGAATGTCACATTCCGGAATGTCACATTGGATTTTCTCATGTTCTGGACCTTTTATTTTAATGGTTTTCATACACTAAGAAACCATGGCCCTGACTCAATTTTCAGCTGACTAACAGACAGGTCTACAATAAAAACAATAACACTAGGGAGGAATCTACACTTTACTGTCATCAACCACTTGAGTTTTTTTTTTTTTTTTTTTT